CTCAGAAAAAAAATTAAAAAGCCTCGTATTTCCAAGCCTTGGGTGGGAGCGTGTGGTCACGAACACCGATAGAGATATTAGAGGGGGAAAAGCCTCCAAATTTTGGTTGCCTCCCTCTGCCTTTAATTATTTTGTCGACAAGGCTCACAATTCAGCAAGTCAAGGTGGCATTTGAGAGGGACGGTTCCCTTTAGCGTAGCTGACAGCTAATTTGTGGGAAGTTTAATTACAGGCGGCATTAATTAACTGGCAGAACGCTGGGCAAAGAAGGCAGCCATCTGTTCCTAAAAACGTCCTCCCCTCCTGGCCCTGCTGGGAGGCTGGGAGGGGTGGGCAAGGAAGAGGACAGAGTGGGGAAGAGGCGGTGACAGAGGAGGAGGAAGGAAGGAGGACCAGGTGATGAATCAGCTTCACGCGCCCCCCCCCCCAGATGCCAGTCTGGGCTGAGATCTTGGCAGCCAGCCTCCTTGTGGCCTCCACCATGTTGCAGCTGCCTCCGTTAGCCACTGGGAGTGGCCGTAACAGTTCCTAGGAATCTGCTTCTCACTGGTCATATCATTAGGAGCAGGGGGTGTGGAGTAGAAGAGGAGATGAGAACACTGTCCCCGACCGGCATTGGAAAAGACTGGCACCCACCACAGGAGGCTGAAAGGAGGAAGTGGGACAGAGCCAGGGGTGAGGGACGCCCTGAGCACCCCGGTCTGGCAGGGGCGGGTCGCTCCGCCTCTCATTCCACCATTCACTCCATTCCAACCATTCTTCTTGGGGATCGGAACAGAAGTGATGCAAACAGCCTCCAAAGTCGGGCTTCCGGGCTTCGAATCCCACCTTTGTCCTTTCTGAGCTGTTCGCCCCGGGGCGGGTCACTTAACCTCTCTGGGCCTCTGTTTCCTCATCTGGAAAATGGGGTTGATTATAATAGGACCTACTTCCTTTTGTCTTTTTAGAATAAAAAGCTCTTTCAGGCTGCTGAAGAGAGCTTTGCTAGGAAGTTGAAGTGTTGGTATGTGTCATAACCGGAAGTGTGAGCGTACGGAGGCAGGGAGGGTTCCAAAAGTTTGAAAGCCCCTGTGCCTTCCAGGGCTCTGGGTCCTTGTGTACGTTGACCCTCACCCCCGAACACCCTTCCCACCCCTGCCCAGCCGCTTCCGTTCTACCCTGGTCTTGAGGTAGATGTCCTGCCTACGAAGGTGCCCTCTGAAACCTCACCTGTGTGTCCCCCATCACAGCCCTAGTCCCCCTGCCGCTGCCTTGGCACGGTCCTTTGCCCCCACTAGACTGGGCACCCCATGCGGGCAGGGACTGGGTCTGTCTTGGTCACTGCTACATCTAGGGCACCCAGCACAGGCTTGGATAAGTAGCTGGTCAGCTCGTATTGTCGTGCAGATGAACAGTTGGAGCTACGGCCCACAGGTGGGGCGGTAGAGGCCAACAGAATGTGGAATTAGACATTACGGCCATTTAAACATGGAAAGGACTGTCTCGGTGGGGGAGTGAGCTCCCCGTTGCCGCTGGCTCGGTCAGCCCCGGGGTGTGTGGCCCGGGGCAAGCCACATCCTCTTTCATGAACTCAGTTTCTTCCTCCAGAAATGGGGGTGTGCCCAGGAGCCTGGCTCGGGGTGCCGGGAGCTGGTGCAGGCACCTGGCAGCCCATATGTGCTCAGTAGTCATGCTGGCAGCTGCTCTCATCCCTGAGTCCGTCCCTGTCACCGAGGCGAATCGCCCCTTCTCTGAGCCTCGGTTTCCCCATTTGGCCACACTCCCCCTTCGGCCACACAGATGGGGCACTGCCTGGACAGGCAGAAGGCAGCCTTCACTGTTGTTTACTTACAGCGGCTGCCAAGCGGGCCCGATGGGGCTGGCACAGGCTGGCCCCGCTAAGCTGGCAGTCCTTGGCAGCACCCAGCTTTCCTGGAGGCGGCTGGAGAAGGGCCCAGCCTGGCTGCTGGGGGACTGAGGAGGCTGCGATGAAGCTGAGCCCCCTTCCGAGAGGGAGCAGTTCCTGATTTGGGGGCGAGGCCTCTATGTACACCTACTAAGGACCCACTGGATGCCAGATCAGGCTGCCGAGGTATTTGCCCCTGCTGTTCCAGCTGCCAGGATCACCGTTCCTTTTCCCACTGCTGATCCCTGCTCGTTCTGGTCTCAAGCCAGAAGACGCCGCCTCCAGAAAGCCACCTGGATTCTCCGGGTTGGGTCAGGCACCTCCATTTGAGTTAACACAGTGTTTTGAGTTTCTCCCACCACAGCTCCGATCACCCAGATTATAGCTGGGCTGTGGGCAGGTCACTTAGTCAGTCGACAAATGCCGACGGAGCACTTAGTTGCTGTCAGGCAATGTGCACGACTACCCAGGCTCAGGGAGCCCTGCGGGGCGGGTGCTGCTGCTGTTCCCTGTTTACAAGTGAGGTCGCTGAGCACAGCAGAGCCTCAGTAAGAGCTTCATTCCCGGTGACGGTGAGCTCACTCCCTCCCCCAGCGATCTGATCGTGAGTCTGGGGAACCAGGATGTGCCGCTCCCCTGTGGCGCCTCTGTGACCTTTGGGGCGTCTGGCGGGCCATGCTGGCCACCCCTAACATGCACTCTCTCCATATCCATGGTAACAGAATTCCTCGTTTTCAGCTGGACCTTCGGCCACTCTGAATAAAAACTACATTTCCCAGCATCCTTTCGGGAAGTGCATCCACACGACTAAGTTCTGGCAGAAGGGATGTGAGCAGAAGTGGTGTGTGGAATTTCCGGGAAGCGTCTGGGAAGGGAGAGGGTTAGCCCATCCTCACCTCTTCTTCCTCATTTTCTGGAATGCAGATGTGAGGGCTGGAGCTCAAGCAACTGCATCGTCCCAGGAGGAAGAAGCCACTCGCTGAGGATGTGAGTAATTATACAGAAGGAGCCTGGGTTATGGACACCGTGGGGCCTCCATGCCCGCTCTGAACTGACTCTTCACGTTCATGAGCAGTTGAGCCCCATGGGCTTAAGCTTCCCCGGGGGGTCGGTCCCACCACACACACGAGCCACAGCAGAGGGCCCACCCTTTGCCATCATCGTTCCAGGAAGGGAAAACCTCCTGAGCCGCCTTGGAGGTCCCCAGCTCTGCTTCAGAGCATGAGTGGAAAACCCTTCCGTGTATATGGAAAAGGAAAAGGAACCCTAACTAAACGAAAACGTTTGCTCGTAAACCCACCAAGACCAGACTGCCAGGTCCGCATCCCGTCATCGCCACACACCGTGTGATCCCAAGCAGGTGACTCAGCCTCTCCAGGCCTCTGTTGTCTCGTCTGTAAAATAGAGACCTGGAAGTTTTGCTGATGGGGGTTTTCCCTGACCTACTTAAAACCTCCAGTGGTTTTACTCAGCACCTTGGAACAAAACCTGAATTCCTTGCCGAGCTTTACACGGCCCTGCACAACCTGCCCTCCCCTCCTCCCTCCCCCCGCCCCCCGCTCACTCTGCTCCGGCAACACAGGCCTCGCCGTTCCTCCTACACGCCGGGCTTGGTCCTGCCCCCGGGCCTTTGCACGTGCCACGCCGTCTGCCTGGAACGCTCCCGCTCACCACCTGATCATTCTGGTCTCAGATCCCTGATCGTGCGCGCCACCCCGTCTCGTTGCCCAGAAGACCCCTTGTGGCCCAGACCTTCTGGGGGGCATGCGGAGGGCTGAAGAAGCGCCTTATGTGCTCACCGTAAAATTAAATCACGTCCGAGCTGGTCTCTGAATCCAAGTACAAATTCACAGGAAATACAGGGGACGGAGGGACATGTGACATGACACCACAGGGACGCCCAGTCGCCAAGACCAGGGATATCTCTGCAGGGTCAATGACCCAGTTGCTCCGACACGACGTGCCAGGCAAAGTTGAGGGAGGGGCATGGAGGGAACAGGTGCAGTTAAGAGCTAGGAGCCCATCGGCAGCTCCCGATTTGGATGATGGAAACAGACGTCCGCCATAAATGTCCGCACTTCCGGGTGTCCCCCGCGTGGTGTCTGATGCTATTAGGCAATGGTCATTTGGAACACGGTACTGGAATCTGTGGGGTTGTTTTTCAAGTTTTTCTCACAGAGCAGGGTGTGTGTCTCTTCGCGCTGTGGACTCTGGGCGATCATTGTCAGTGGGGGCCGTCCCGGGGGCCGTGTGAAGCGGCATCCCCGGCCCCCCACCATCAGAGGCTAATAGGACCCCCCCCTGCAGTGGTGAATACCACAGATGTCTCCAGATACTGTCAAGTGCCCTCTGGGAACAAAATCCCCACCCAGTTGAGAATGACTGCTTTCGTGACACAAACCGAAATATTTACAGATGAAAAAATTCTGGGATTTGCATCGAATAGCGAGAGACGGGGCGTGTGTGGAAGAGGAAGAGTCAGCTGGATCCTGAGTGACAGACACCTGAGGGCTCATCCTTCTGGTCTCCCTCCCTGGGGTGCGTTTGACGTTTTCCGGCACAAAACCCTGGGCTGATGGGAAGAACGCAAATAAAATCTGGAGTCGAGTTTGTCACAAAGGACCCGTGATGCTCTCCTGGTTTTGACAAGCGCGCTGTGCTTACCCGACCTGCGACCGGCAGTGGGGAGCTGGGGGAGGGGCCGAGAGAACTCTGGCATCTCTGCTACTTTTCTGTAAATTTAAAATGATTCCAAAGTTAAAAGTTTATTTTTAAAACAAGTTTAAATGAGTAACGAATGAACATATAAGGGGTCAGCGGCCAGGGTCAGAACAGAGGCATGAGGCCTGTCCTGGAGCCACCGCTGGCCGATGACCCAGCGACCTCGAATGCCCGCCCCTGCCCCTCGCCTTCTCACTCACGTGGAGACACTGGGAGCCAGCCCTGGGCTCGTCTGGGCTTAGTCGCATGGGTGGGTGAGAGGCCAGAGGCCGGGCGGCCCACAGCAGCCAGGGCGCGAAGCCGCTTTCAAACCCATTTTATTGTCTCCAGACCAGAAACATCTGTCTCCACCCTCCCCGACCCGACCTCTGTCTCCCGCCGGGGCTGCGGGGCCTCAGGGATCCGGGGGCCTCTCCGGGGACGCCGCCTCGGCCAGCCCCGCGGAGGCAGCGCTGCAGGGGCGGTGTGGGCCGGCGCGGGCCAGCAGCTCCAGCCTCCGGGAGCGCAGCCGGGCCTGGATGGCCCAGACGGCGAGCTGGCGTCCCGGCGGCATCGGGTCCTCCCCGCCGAAGCTCTCGACCGTGGACTCGGCGCTGTCCTCCGAGCCGGCCACCGACTGCTTGCACATGGGGCAGGAGCGCTGCGCGGCCTGGGAGAACCAGGGGTCGATGCACTTGCAGTGGTAGGTGTGGGAGCAGGGCAGGACCTTGAGCTGGTCGCCCTCCTCGTATTCGTCCAGGCAGATGGCACACAGGTCGTTGAGCCGCGTGAAGGTGCGGACCTGCGCCTTCTGGCAGGCTGGCGTCTTGACCACGGCCGGCCTGCGGGTCCACCTGGCCCACAGCCAGCTGCACAGGCGTCGCAGGACGAAGAAAGCGGACGTGAGCAGGGCCAGGGCGCGGCCCAGCACCCAGGAGACCGCCAGCACCGGATGGCAGTCCAGGTCGGGGCAGGGCGGGTAGTCGGGCAGCAGGAGGACGTGGGCCGACTTGTCGCAGCGCATGATGACGCGCAGGTCCTGCGAGGCGGCCTCGCCCACGAACACCGAGGGGATGGCGATCTGGCGCCGCAGGTCCTCGTGCACGTGCGCCATGTGCACCAGCTCGTCGGAGCGCACGTTGTGCACGATGGCGGCCCCGAAGCCGGCCCGCTGGGCGTGCAGCACCTTCAGGTCGAACGTGCAGTCGTGGCGCCGGATCAGCACGATGGCGCCCAGGGAGCCGTTGCCCACCGGCCGCGGGCCCTCGATGGGGTGGCACGCGTTGGCGGGCTTGGCCTCCATCAGGTAGCCGCGCACGCCCTCAGGGGCCAGGGGCGCCCCGAACATGGCGGGCAGGGCCGCGTAGTCCACGGTGCTCGAGTTGCTGTCCAGCACGGCCCGCACCACCGCCTGCGAGGGCGCCAGCAGCACCAGCAGGATCAGCGCGGCCTTGACCGCCCCCGGGGCCATGGCCGGCAGCTGCCCCCCCATGGCGGCCATGCCCCCTCAGCTGGCTGCGCTGTGGAACTATGTCCCGCTGGGGACGGCAGACCGGAGGCCTTCGGGCATCTCCAGGGCCTCCCCGGAGCCCGTGGCCGGGATGGAATGGAGGTGGCTTGGATGGGGGGGCTCAGAGGCAGGTGAGCAGAGCAGCTGAGACCTGGGTGGCCCTAGGTGGGAACTGCTCCTGGTGGCAGCCACGTTTGCATTGTTTTTGAAGGCTGATCTCAGGAGGAACTGACCTGCCCAGGTGGCCCTCCTGGCAGATGACGCAGAGGCCAGGAGCCCCCAGGGTTCTAGATGCCCCCGGCCTCTGTGACATCGCTCTGTTACATCCTGCCCCCAGGAGCCCCAGCTGCCTGGGCCTGTGGCCGAGACAGCATTCCCGGGGCTCTGACCTGGGGCCTGGGCAGCCTCTGAAAACACCTCCAGAAGTCTCGGAGCATCCCCGGATCCTGGGCTTTCTGGGGGCTGGTGGCCCCTGGTCCAGCAGGCCCAGCCACGCTCTACGAGCATCATCTCCCCGTGCCTCCCAGCGACTCAACAAGGAAGGCGCCAGCGTTACCCCCTTTCGACCTTTCGAGACTCCTAGAAGGACCCGGACCTGCTCAGGGCACCCTCTCCCCGTGAGGTCCGTCCTTAGAACCCACATTCCAGACCTCCTTTCCCCTCCCCCTCACGTGCCCGCTGCAGCAGCCCCGACCTGCTCACCGTTCCTCCAACGCGCCGGGCATGGTCCTGCCCCAGGGCCTTGGCACGGGCTGTGCCCTCTCCCTTCTCTCTGCGGCCGGCTCTTCCTCACAACTCAGGTCTGAAAGAGGCCTCTGGGCGGAGCGTGGGCTGGAGAGGCGGAAAGAGGCTCAGAGAAGGGGCTGGGGGAGGAGGGGATGGGGAGAGACTCGGAGGGGACGACAGCCCCGAACCAGTGGGTGGGTATGAAGGAGAAGACGGAGGGTCCACCTCTCCCCGTCTCGGGATCACTTCCTGAAAGTCGGCTTCGGCGCTACCAGCTTGACCGGTTTGCGGACAGTTGCTAATGTCCCTCAGAGAAAGGTCCTTGGCCCCGCTGGCATTTTAGGACATCGTTTTATTGTGCGTCTTTGTTTCTGTGGGTCCCATCTCTCTGTGACAAGAGATGTGGGTTTCTGATTTCCGACTCTCACAAAGTTTTATTTCTAAAGAAAGACAACAGGTGAGTCGATCTTTAGGGAATATTGGGTGAATAAAGGAACAAATGGATGATAACGGGAAAGATGGAGAAAGAGCTCTCTCCAGAAATGGAACATCGATCGACAGGGTGGATTCGTTTCCTCGGGCTGCTGTAACAAAGTACCACATCCTGGGTGGCTGAAAACAACGGAAATGTATTGTCTTGCAGTCCTGGAGGCCAGAAGTCCAAGATCAAGGTGCTGGCAAGCTGGTGTCCCTTGCTCTGCCCACGTGCAGGGCTGTCTGGGTGAGCCAGATAATTACCCGCCGTGGGGGGCAGCCCAACCAGTGACCCCCGTAAGGTGACTCTGGGGCGCATGTCCCCACCATCTCCTAGGGGGCCCCAGCAGATTGAGCCCCAGCTGCCCCCTCGATAACCGGCTCGACAATCGCCTTCCCTCCCCTGACTGCCCCCCACTCCCCTCCCGGCGTTTTCTGAGATCGCTCCCAGGGTAAATGACCTTCATTCAGATCCTCGTCCTGAGGTCTGCTTCCGGGGAACCCAAACTAAGATGCTCCCGGAGAATAAAAAGATGCATGGGAAAGCAGGAAAAAGAGATGGGGACCCGGGTCCCCAAAACATCATCTGAGCACCTCAATCCAGGTGAGCCTGAGGCCACACAACACCTGTATCCCCCGTGATACGAACCAACACGTTCCTTTTTTGCCTCAGAGAGCATTTCTCTACCCACACTGATCTCACAGGGGATGGTGAGGCTTCCAGAATCTCACAGAAGAGAAACTGGCGTGATTATTAAGTTTGATTTTCTTCTCCTGCTCCACACCCACCTCCTCCCTCCCCAGACGTTTCTAGCAGGACCTCCTTCAGCGATGCCCACAGGGGACAGAGCAGAGGCGCTGGCCCCTCTGACCATTAGAGGTAACACCGCACCGGAGCGGGTGATGGGCACGTCTCGCGTTCACTCTAATTTCCCCAGAAGTCCCTGGCTCCCTGGGGTGCACCTCCTGCTAAACCGAATGACACACTGGCCTGTACGTGGGCAGGTATGCAGCACACACTCGCCCAACAGGAGTGTGATTCAGGAGACCCGCGGGCTGGGCTGGGAGGAGGCCTGCTGGGTCCCTAACCAACAGGCCTGCGAATCGCCACCTGCCCCACCGGAGCCACTGTCTCCCCGTCCTTCTCTGTCTTGCCCTTCGTCAGTGTCTCTTTGTGTCTTTGCCTCTTTGTTTCTGCCTCTGTTCCTTTCTCTCTCTGTCTGTGTCTGTCTGTGTCAGTCAGTACCTGTGTGTCGCTCTACTTCAAGTCTCTGTCTTGTGCTTGCTTTGCCGTGCATGTATGTGTGTGTGTCTGTGCGTGTATGTGTGTGTGCGTGTGTCTGTGCGTGTATGTGTGTGTGCGTGTGTCTGTGCGTGTGTGTGTGTGTGTGTGTGTGTGTGTGTGTGTGTGTATCCCTGGGCCTGCGTCTCTAGATCTATGTTTATGTCTTGGTGTGTCTCTCCCTCGCCCTCTCTTTCTCTCTCCTCCCTCACCCCCTTCTCCCCGCTCCCCCGAGCCTGATGACTGGCCCACAGGAGGTATTCAGTGGATTCTGTCAATTCAAAGGCCAAAGACACGTCTCTGTGGACCCAGACGAGCCTGGGGCGGTCCGAGGCACGCCTTGGCTTTAAGGCCCTGCGTGGCCCTCACTTGCTGCCCTCACTTGTCCCTTCTCCTTGCGGCATCTCAGCGTCCCCATCTGTAAAACATTTTCTGAACATAACCACCCGTGAATCTTCCTGCCACTCTTGAGCTTGGGACTGGGCCTTTCCCCATTTCTCCCAGGAGGAAGCTGGTATGAAGAGAGGGGACGATCCCAGCCCAAGTGCCACCATTCAAAAGAGGCTGGGCCACCTTCCCTGCCCCGGGCTCCCCAAACCTCCCGCCCTGCTGGCTTTGTCCCAGCCTGGCCCCCACCGGGGCAGGCATCTGGCTGCAAATTACCGGGCTTGCTGTCTGAGGTCAGACTGCCTCGCTGGCCTTCCCACCCTGCCTGCTGCAGGGTCCCAGGCTTTATGCAGGATAATTAAACCTACGGAGGGAGAGAACGCTGCCGGAGAGACAGATCTGCCTGCACCGGGCGGCATGCTTGGCACCGAGTACCCAGTCGCGACCGAGACACGACCTCTGACCTTACGGAGACTACATTTTAGCTGAGCAAAGGGGAGACAGCCAATAAGTAAATTAAATGAATGAATGAACCAACCGGCAAACGAAATAGCTTCAGAGTGTGAAGCGCTGTGCAGGGAACAGCAGGCGATGTGACTGAGAGGGGGTGGCCTTTGCTGGGGCGCTCAAGGGACGTCTCCCCAAGCCGGGGCCATTTGAATGGAAGCCCGAAGTCCGGGAAGACCTTTTCTTCTAGAACACACCGGATGCTTGAGGTGCCACCTGGCATTTGTTGACTGGTGTCATCTCATTTCTTTCTTCGTCAAAGATTTGCTAAGCACCTACTGTGCGACAGGCCCTGGGCTGGGCACCGGGGACCCAGAAGTGCCCAAGACAAGTCCGGTCTCCACCTTCGGAGGTTCCGTCCGGAGGAGAAGACAGACGTTCAAGCGAGCGCACGAGAATCTTTCCAATAGCCGCGAGTCCCATGAGGGAAGCGAGACAATAAGGAGATAAGATAAAGTGTCTGAGAAACAAGATCAATATGCCAGAATCTGCGCGTGAACGTTTCAGGACAAGCAGGATATTGGCACAGTGTCAAAGCAACTCTCTCAAGATATTTACTCGTTTGAAAAGGAAAGAGCTAACTTCCCAGGGCGGAACTCTGGCAGACACTGTCGTGACCGCGGGCTCCAGATCAACATCGCTGGGGATGAGACGTGGCCGCCTCAGCGGCTCCTGGGACCCCGAACCCAAGCGGATGCGACGTTGCTTCTGTGGGACACGGTGAAAACGCACTACCTGAGCAGAATCGCGAGCCATCGTCAGACAGACCCGGACTCAGGGGCGGTCCACAAAATCCCTGGCAATGCCCTTGAAAGTGTCAAGGTCAGGGAAGACCAGGGGAGACGGAGGAACCGCCCCAGGGTGCTGGGAGATGCGACGATGAAATGCAGTGAACGGCCCCGGCTGGGATCCTGGACGGGAAGACATTGTTGGGAAAGCTGGTGAGGCTCGAACGAGGTCAGGAGGTTCCTCGGGAACCCGGTACCGGTACCGTGTGAATTCTGGTATTGATCCTCGTCCCAGGGGATGTCATCCCTGGGGAGTGGGGACACGGGACACAGGCGCTCTGTGCTTCCTGCGACTGTGTTTCTGCACCTTTCTGTAAGTCTAAAACGATTTCAAAACAAAATGTTAGAAAACAGGCTGAAGGCTCCTCGAAGATGGAGGAGGAGGTGGGCGGGGAGGGGAGGAGGAGGAAGGTGGTCTGAGAAAGAGACAGGGCTGGCCTCCAGGGTGACCGCGAGGAGGCCTCTCTGCACGGGTTGGCAGTGCAGGGAGAACCGAAGGGTGAGGAGGAGTCGGCAGAAGGAGCCCGGAGTGCCCAGGGGTGGGGACGGCATGGTCACGTGTCTGAGGAAACGAGAGAACGCTGTGGCCGTTGCGGGTGGCAGGGCGTGAAGAGGCCAGTGGGTGGGCTGTGGGGGGCGCTGCATGTTACTGCAGGGGTAACGCAGAGTTTGGCCAGTCTGGGCTCCCCGCAAGCCGTCCAGAAGACAGGAAGACAAGGATTGGGGTACAAGCAGTGTGCGTGGGCGGTGATCTCTGGGATGCCCCGGGAAGGAGACAGGGAAGGGAAGGAGCCATCACAGGGTGCACTCCAGAGCAGGTGACTGTGGTGGGCGGACGGGGCTCAGTCCCACGGGGAACCTCTGGGAGACAGCAGAGAGCGTGCGCCCAGAGATGCCCCACTCCGAGGACGGGGAGCTGCGGGATCGATGCACCAGCTCCTGCCGGCCTTCGGCTGGGAGTGGCATCGATTCTCTGACACTTCTAGCCTGCCCTGGGCACGCAGAGCAGGCTCAGGCAGAGCCGGAGCTGGGGTGCCAGCCCCGGGAAACGGCGAGAGCCCAGGGATCTAGGTGGGCCACCACTGGCACCGGCCACAGAGCCTGCAGAGCTGCACTCACCCACGTGGCAGCCATTAGCTTCGCGTGGTT